TTTTCACTGCTCGAACATAAGCACATGCCCAAAAGAGGAGTGAAGATTGAAATTATAAAGTCCTTATACCCACTCTCTTATTACTAAAAAGCCATTGCAGAGACTACACAGGGGTGAGAAAGTGAGCACTTACTCTTTTACCACTGCTCAACACTAAAAGCAAACTTTAAGCAGGGGAACACAAGCATAAATTCTATTTACCTTGATTTCAGTATCAATATTTAACATTTTAAGTAGACTTATAAATTACAGGAAGGACTGAACATGAGCATAACTCATGAATGATTTCCATTCCAAAAACCCTAATATATATTTAGATGAAAAATATCTCTTCTAATACAGATTATGAAGTTTTATCAAATTTTCAGCATGAACATCAACTGAACTGTCAAACTGTAAAAGATTTCTTGACTAAAATGGCTTCTTGTCCAACTCGTTCCTTTCTGCATGTACATTCTTCTCTATATCTTCATTAAAAAAAATATAAACACGTGCAACATGTAAGCAATAACAAACGTCATCCACGCCCTGGATTCTGATTGGTCAGCCGCATCACACAAAAAAATAGTTCCTAATTGAGATCAAAACTTCTAAGAAAATATGAAGGTCATCGGTCATCTTTAGCGTCCGTCAGCATCGTCTTCTATAACAAAAATAAAAATGAACAAGAAACAATTTAACTGAACCATGGAACTTCCAACTGGTGAATCCAAACATCGAACGCCATCCTTACTTTCACTTTCGTCTGTATCCGGTTTACACAGGCAAGTCAAAAACAACCAAAATATGTCTGAAAATTCTAAAAATCACTCTCGTGGATTAACCTTAACAATTTTTAGGCGTGCAAAAGAGGTCGATCAAGGGCGCGCTCGCAGCTTTTATATCATACGATACTGGAATTGCAGGGAAAGCTCTGCAGGAATCGTTGGAAAACTGGAAAGTCGCTGTTTTCCGCCATTCCTCGATAAAATTTTAATGAGCCAAATCTAAATTAAACTTGCATATACATTACTCAAAGACCATGTCGCTGTTTCTGAAATAAATCTTCCTACATATATATAGCAAAAATAAAATAGATAAATACAGAATCCCTAAAGAAAGCCCAACACGACAAAATTGAAAATGTTGCAGGCTCGGTTTGATTGAGCCTGTTCATGGACGGTACTGGGGAAAATGCAATTTTCCGTCCCCGCCCCCTAGCCCCCCGGGTTTTTGCAGGGAAATTCAAAAAAATTTTAAACCCTTTAAAAAAGGTAAAAAAATTTAATTTAGAAAAAACCGCAGATTTTTTTCATTTCGGCGGTTATCATGGGAAATAACAAGTATGAAATAAATATTTTTAGCCTTTCATGATTTAAATTTTTCCGATTCCCGGGGAAGGGGGAAAATTTAAAATTAAAGGAATTTTTCGTAAAAACCCCCAACCCTTTTCAACCAAGGGCACCGCAAATTTTTACGAAGAGGGGAATAAATTTTAAAAAAAACAGTTAAAACAGAAAATTTTTAAGTTGTTTACCAGTGTTTCAAATTTCACCCCGGTATTTCAATTTACGGGGAAATTTTTTTTTAATTTTAAAACCCGGGACCCTTTTTTGGGAGAACCCAAATTTAATTTTTTGAATTTAATTTCTGTGACTGACAGCTTGCATGCCATATTTTCGGATAGGGCTGGATTCGGACTGTATAAGATAGTTGATCAAAATTTATCATTTCTCGTCTTTGTGATGACATCATGGGGCCCCACAGTATTAAGAGACTCCCTGTCATATGTGACCTTTTTTCTGAAGATCCCTTGGAAAGTCACATATGACAGTCTCGACTGTATTTGTATTTAATAACTTTATGTAAAAATTCATGTGCATTGTGATATTATTTTCACGAAATTGCAGGCTCAGTTTAACAGCTTGTCCCTTAGTTACTAAAACCCGGATTTCGAATATCGTTGTGGTCTACATTGATGCCGTATCCATTCATTCATTTATATATTTTCAAAATTTTCCTACAAGAAGAAAGTGCACCTTAAAAAGAAGGTATTAGGATAGGTAAAAAACTGTTGTAAAAGAATATTATTATTTTCCATTTTTACGTTTATCTGTTACAAAAATGGTTGTTTTTCCCCAAAAGGGGTTTCCAGTATCCCCCGGTTTTCCCGGGTGTTGAAAAAACTATTTCCCAAATTTTTTGGGAATTACTGCTGTTTACCCTGGCCATCTAATTTTTTTGAAAAACTTTATTTATTAATTTTCATGGGGTTTTCCCTTTTTGAAATTTTTTTATCATATTTTAATAAAAACTGAGGGCCCGCAAAATTTTTATAATTTTTGCCCGGGTTTTGGGGTTTTTTGGGTTTCAGGTTTTCTATATTTTAAGGGGAAGTAACTCATGTTTACTAAATTATTTGTTCTTTTCTCTATCTTAGGTATTACTTACTATTTTTGTTGTATGAAATTTACCAGTTGTAAGGTCATCATAAGCATGTTAATGTTAATGTTGGGATTTCATATTTATTTAATAGAAACTGGGAATTATTGTTATGTGCATACATGTATATCTTAGTATACTATATTGATACATGATGAGACTTATAATATTTCTGAACAGTTATGTCATTATTATTAAAGGGATGAGACTTTCATTTAAAGTTATAAATGATAATACATGTATTGATTGAAAATGTCCTTAAACTTGGATCAAGCAATATAATTAATAAAGTCTCAAAAAATCATATTCTGAATAGTTATTCTAGTTTTTTTTCTAACATGTGCATAGTTTGAAAAGGACAGCTTCTGTCTTATATATTTGTAATGGAGGGACACCGGTCTCAACTTACAGGTCTCCAGAGTCAGCCCGACAACAGACTTTTCATAGAGTAGATTGTTACTTGCCCTTGAATAAATGTGTGCACTAAATTTTATAGTGGATGATTTGTGCCATATGGAAACCAACATAGTAAAAAAAGTAAGCGGGCGCCAGATCACACCGTATTACCGGCGGCAGTGATGGCAGATCACTGCAGTGATGGCAGATATCCGACAATTTCCGATCGATACAGGTAGGTTATAAATTTGGTTGGTTTAATTATATTACACAAATACGGCCCATTTCAATGCTATAAAACTATTGTCCATTGAATGGCGATACTGTACGGTAATTTTGGACTCGTTTTTTCCTGTTTTAAGACTATTTTGAGCAGGTTAAAAGTGACAGCCTCGGAAAAATCCGTGAAAATGTCTGTTTTCTGTCCAAAATATCTCAAGTTTTAAGTAAATGGCAGGATTTCCTGTTATCAATATAGACGTTCATCCATTGGGGTCACGCAAGCCAAATATCTACCCCATGAGTCTTTTCTTGAAAGTTTTACAGACGCTCAATCTTGTCCGGTCGAAGAAAAAATGCTGCCGTTGTAGGCAGAGACATATTAAAAATGCTGCCGTCGATGGCAGAAATACCATAAAAGTGGCTAACATTCTGACAGAAAATCAAGTTCAATCTTTTATCAATTCCTCTTTTCTTTGCGTCCTTTTAGTCGGAATTGACACGTTAAACTATCATTTCGAATATTTTCTCAAGATAGAAAAGTTATTAATGCGGTATGTGCATCGAAAATATATGCTTGAATTGTATCAAATGTTTGATTGTCATACCTGTAATATATGTACTAAATTTGATTTTTGCCCTTGTAGAAAACAACTATGAAGAAATACAAGTGTTGCTATTGTGAATCTTCATTCGATCTCCATAAAGACACAGTAAATCACCTTGTAGACTCTCATGAGCTGCTTATCCTTAAATACAGAGAATTGGAACTCAGTGACAAAACAGGTAGTTATGGCTACAGAACAAAAGTTTACGATATAGTTCCTGCCGACGGGGAAGTGTTTGTCACTGAAGATGAAAGGATAGGAATATACCGCGGCGACAGGGCTAAGAAAATAAAATGTAATACCCCATTTAAAGGGCAGTTATCGGAAAGTATTAAGGAACGCGACAACAATGAATTTACCATTTCTAATTTTGACTTAAGTAACCTGTTATCAGAAATGGATATTGGAACTATCATTAAAGATGCAGATGTCGACGAGGGTGAAAGTGAAAACATGAATGAACTGATAGATAAAATTCCAAGTGTTTTAAAGCATTTGAAAAAAAGTGGTCATTTAGATTCCTATAAAAAGTGGAAAAAATTCCTATGAACAATATCTCTTTTCTGCACTTTCTTGATACAGTTGAGTGGTTTTCAAATACGACAACTTCAGAAATGCGTTACATAAGACCTGAAACAAAGAGATTCTGGGAGGTTGGTTATCGTTTGTTCAAGGGCAAGTTTCTTCGTTTTATGTCCGGACCTCGCAATGTTGGACAAGTTATTGATGGAACAGAGAGTAAGGGGGAATGTTTATCGTCTGCCTCTGAAATAAATTTTGCTGTTCCTACATTGAAGACTTTGTGTCAAGATAAATTAGACCCAATCATGCCGGGTGTGATGGAATCATCAATAGACTCAATCGCACGTTGTTTGCCATCAAAGTTAATTAAAATTGGAGTTGACGGAAAGAAAATAGCTAGAGGAAAGGGGAAATTGATGGGGGATATAGATTGCTGGGACTTTGAACAGGAGCCAACACTTAGACAACGTTTAGAGAGAAACGTAGATGAAAAACAAAATGTATCTGAACTGTTTACTTTGGTGAAAAAGATTGATGAAAAGGGTCATGTTTTCATCCCATCAACAGCTAGTCCCATTGTAAATCAGAAATTAGTTACATTAAAAGCCTTAATAAGCAATCGTATTAAAAACTTACGTGTAATAATTGTACGACTAGAGCTTGGTATTGAAAAGTTCATGAATCTAGGGGACTGTATATCAAAGCATTGGACAAAATCAAAATATGCCCCTGTTATAGTTTAAAGGTAGCAAAGTACGACATTGATTCGTCCATTGAGGATGCGCTCAGATTTATTAATGAAATATGTCTAATTTGTGCTACGTTTAATAGACAACAAGACATGTTTGCAGCAAATGGGATTGTTGACATGGATGAGCAGGAAAATTTTCATCAATTAAAAACAAATGTATCGAGCAATGATTCTAGACATGTAAAACAAAAATCTGAAAAATGGTTTGAAATTCGTTCAAAAGCTATGGTTACCGGTAGTACTTGCAACACTGCTTTGGGATTAGGTCTGTTAAAAGAGCAACAAGCTCATTTCGATAAGGTTGTCAATCGAAAGGAAAGCACGGTCCAATTTTCTGAACAACAGAAATCCAATATGGAATATGGAAGTTTGCACGAAATCGACGGCGTAGCAACAATTGTAGGCCATGTCCTTCCAGCATTTTTCCCGAAGCTTGATTTTTATGAAGAAGGGTGCGCAAGACTTGCAAACAAAAGTAACGATTCATTTCTTGTAGCAAGCCCCGATGGAAGCTTAAGGGAATCGGTAGAATTGGATCCAAAACTTATGTTTGAAAATAAGTGTAAGGTGAAAAGTAAATACACTACCCCTGTGTTCTATGAAATACCCAAATATTACATTCCGCAACTGCTATGTGAAATGTCTGCATACAGCTGTAACAGTCTCCTGTTTAGCTGTTGGTCCAAGCAATCAACAACTGTATTTCAGGTAGAATTTGACGATGAGCTATGGAAGAGCATATGGGAACAACTTGATCAATTGTACGGTTCAGAAAATCCAAAACGTCCAACAAAATTTTCAGAAAAGAATAAAGATATTCGAACAATGATAAATGAATATCAACAGCGTAAAGTGTCATTCTTGGGAGAGTTTCCGTTTTGCAGTGTAAAACAAACACCAAAAGATGTAGAATTTGTCACGGGTGGACCTCATGTTATGAATACAAAAAAGCAACCCGTAGAATCACATGACGGAGCAAGAACAGATAATGTTTTAAGCCTGCTACGAGGACTAGAAAAATGGTTTGATGAAGTTTATCAGCTGTGTCGGACATCTGCAACAGAGATCCTTATGTTTATGGTAAATGATTTAGATCGGAAGTTTCACTTAGAAATAAATAATGCTCATCCTGTTGCCTACGCACTTAAAGGCTCAAGTATGACCTTCGAAGTATTTAAACTAATGATTGAACATGTAATAAAAAAGTGTGAAGATAAAGGTCTAAGAGTCATTGCCACATCAAGTGATGGTCAATGGCACAAGTATGGTGTAAGGGGTTCAAAGGATGTGCGTCTCACTGTATATCAGCTACAAAAGGATATGTGGAAAGAGCAAAAATCGAAACCAAAATCAGCCTTGTTAAAAGATGTAAGGAACAGGTACAAAGTATCAGGTTTACAAGATATTTTGATTGAAAAAGAGGAATCAGGCAGATTGATAGTACTTGGTCACACTCGAGATTCTCCTTTACGTGTATACAGCAGTACAGCACATAAATGGCAGTTAAAATCAGACAAGTTTGAACAGAATGAAGACAAGTCTGACATTAATGAATCTCGACAAGGAAGCGACACTTTAACTTTGATTCAGTCTCTAGACAGTGAACATGATTTAGAAGAAGAGGACGTACGTGAGATTTCATCAATAAACCCAAACGCACATGAACAGAATGCTGTTATCGACATGCATTTAGGTGAATTCATGAGATTAATGTTCAGTGATACAGACAATGCTAATTATTACAATACAGATAATACTGATGAACTTTTTGATGTTAATAATGATTTCAGAGAAAGCCTTAATACAGCCGTTCATCTGAATTTACCAGTTTCTACCTATGATGTGAACAATATTACAACACAACCTAATTGTTTCTCTGTAAACGACACAGAAATAGGAACTGCAGTGAGTAGTGCATTTGCTGCGCTTAGTGGAGACACAGATATTGGAGGTATTTCTACTATGGAGATCGATTCATTTACAAAAAAATGAAATGGAAACATTCACAAGTATGTCCGAAAATGAAGTGACAGAAAACCTGAATGTTGAAGATAACTTGCAAGAAATACAAAGTTTGAATTTTGCACAAAGTGACACTTTAAATGACGATTGTAAAGAACTATTGAATGCCTTAAGGAATGTTGACAACAATCGCAAGACTTTTTGGGAAGCTTCTTCGGTTGAAAAGTTGTGCACGATTTTAAACGATAATATGAAGATCTTTAAAACATTACAGAAGAAAGAAATCATAATATGCCTAGATACCTTGAAGAAGCGCCGAAAGGAAAATCTGACGTACTTCCTGTCATGGAATAAAACTAAGTTAACCGACGCACTATCAAAAGTTTTTCACAATGTCAGTAGAAATACTGCAGTCGATGAGGATCAAAGAAAACCAAAACAGAAATATAACCCACCAAAACTATCAAAACTTGCATCGAAATTCTTAAACAAAATACCAAAAGACACTTTAGCAGTTACTATATGTGAAAATATTTGGCCTAAAAACTTTGATAAATGGTCAGAACGTTCCATTGTAAAGAATAGTGATGCCCTCACCGGCTGTGAAAAGAAAAATTGGTTTTCTCAGCCATGTGTAGCTGAATCAGGAAATCCAATGTTTCACTTTAATGATGCATGTCATATTTTGACGTGTTTAAGGACAAAAATTTGTACAACTGGAATTTCTGGTTTAAGTAAAGCTGTATGGGATGAAGCAGCAGAAAGTAAAGACACCATGCTGAATATTGCTATTGTTAAAGAGTGTGTTGACAAACAGAGTGTAGCTTTTGCAAAAAGGGTTTTCGGCGAAGACGTGGAATTATTTATGAAAAACAAGTCATATGATAAAGAAGCAAGATTTGTTCACCTACTGAGAAGATGGTTTGAGGCCGAGGACGAGCCAGGAATATCTGTACTAGAAAGATGTTCTAGACGATTGGAACTTAGAGACTATCTTCTTGATGAAGTAAATTTTGGGTCATTCCCTCCTAAAACACAATATATCAAAGGCATACCTATAATTACGTACGAGTCATTACTAGTCCACATTGAACGTAAACTGCAGATTTTTCATTTCTTGCCGGAGAAATGCTATAACCCCCGAGCTCTTGGTACACAGGAAGTTGAACAATTTTTCAGCACTCTACGTGACCTTGACCCATCAGGGCTAGGAACACCGAAGCCAGACGATATTCCAGACATGATGGCAACTGCAGCTTTTCCTTGATAATGTCAGAATGGACCCTGATAGGTGAGTAATCATCCTATATATATATATATATATATATATATTTATATATTTATACATGTATATATATGACAGGTTATTTATCTGGCAACCTTATGCTATATACTTTGTTTTAATGAAAATTAATTTACATTAATTACGTTATTAATACTTAAGTGAAAAGTAAGTACTCGCTTTAAAATGATATCAAAATAAATCTTACCACCTTTTAATAAAATAGAACACATCTATTTTAATATTTAGTTATCTGAAACGTCAGTCCAATACTGATACATTTGTCCTCTGTATTCTTTTCAAATAGATCTTTCTTTATAAGGACAAGTAAAGCACCCGTGTATCCGGACATCTCGCTGTTATCAACACAAACCATGGAAGGAAACGACTTACCATCGAGTACTCTTTATAGGTACAATGTATTTGCTTAGGTTTAACTAACATTGGTAAAATTAAAGGTCAAGTGACGATTTCCAACTAACTTGTTTGAGGAAGGCATTAAAGGCATGAGAGGCCATTGTGGGAACCACTAACCTTCCATAAGATAACTGGATAGCATCTTCACACGGAAGAGTTCGTCCCTTTCGGGGTTCGAACCATAAACGACAAGTGGTAAGAGATTGGGTGTAGATCTAAGCGACATTTACAGTTCTAGCCAAGGAAATTCATGTTATTTATCTTACGTTTGTTTGGTGAAATATTGAAAATATCAGTGTGATATAATCTATATCATACTGTTTGAAACAGTGAGTGATATAGAATATTGGTTCCCGTTCTATACATTCAATGATACAGCAAAAATAAATGCATAGAGGATAAAGATTTTCATAACAATTATTTGTAATTACTAATACATATTTTTTAAAAATACAAAGTAAGCAACCCATAGATGTTAAAACTGTCCTATTTTCAGAGACCACTTCTTTGACACTGCAGACAGAAAACGCAAGAAGCAGAAACGAAAAACTGGAAATGTGTCAGCACCAGATCAACCTGCGCATGGACAAAGGGGCGTCAGGCAATTCCATGCATGCGATGAATCAAAGATTTTAGCGCATATCCGTAAAGGCCTTACAGATGTTTAATAAAGTAACACAATTCTGGTGATTAAACTTTATTTAGAACTGTAACAGGAAAAAATACATACATTTTAACAGTAAATCTACTTGTTACAACTGTGTAACTGCATATATACCGAAAAGAGCGAACATGTGAACATTTTCTTGTATCATGTTATAGATTCTATGAACACTATCAGGTTCGACATACAATGTTAGGTAAATTGTTTATTAGATAAATATTATATTCATGATATCTTACATTTTAGAAAGTGTAGTATCTTTAAAATTCTGATATAACATGTGATACGACACAACTTCATAAAGTATATCATTAACAAATTTTGGTAAAAGTGTAGCATTGCCATATTGACTTTCCATATCAACATTTTTTATTTATATTTTAGAAGTAGATGTACAATAAATACATAAATATATTACCATCTTAGAAATACAAGCACTATAATTTATCAAATATGTGTTCTTTATCTTTTACAATGAAAAATATACATGATTTCAAATACCCATGATCTAGAGAACTGGTTTATTTAACCCTTAAAAATTACCTCTAATTTGTGCTTGGAGAAGTTTTATAAAAATGTACAAATACATGTGTGAGTAATCAGTATGGGTATCTTATCATAAAACAACAACAACAAAATATTCAAATATTAAGAAATGAACAAAATTTAAAATATCTTAACAACATTTTAAGGAAATAGCTTTCTCTCATTTCTTAACAGACGAACACACATCGTTATATGGCAACTTAGATTCGTTGCATACATAGCAATTACCTGATATATGAATCAACACATGCGATTAATTGTTTAGAAATGATAAAGTAGATAAAAATTACTATGCCGCATCAGTATAGCATCTACCACAGGCAGTAGTATACTGGTGTGCATGAGTTTTTCACATTATTTATCACTTCTAAACAAGTACGATATATTTGTGGAATGATCAACTTATTAAAAAGCAGATTCCTTATCTGTAAAAAAAATCAAACAGAACACAGATTCATAACTTAAAACATTACAACTTCTGGATAAACAAATAATGAATTAACCAGGTGACTCTTACAACAAATAAAAAAAAAACTTACTAGCGAGCGAACCTTAACAACAATATTAAGCTTACTTTTATGTCAGCGCCATCCATTGAACATAACTTTAATGTTAATTAAGATATGCAGTAGCAAATAATCAGCCAAGAAACCAAACGACGGCAATTTCGTTCCGACTGTAACAGATACTTAAATCTACCTAATTTAGTAAGACGAAGATATATTACTGCTGTCTATATACAGTGCTGTTGTAAATGCTAGCAAGTTTATGTGTCTGTACATACAGCATTCTAGTACTGAAGGTTAATATCAGAGAAACCTAATTTGATATTTAAAGACATTTATCTTACATTTTTCGATGAAATATTGAAAAAATTATCAGTGTGATATAATTCATATCACACTGTTCAAAGATATAACAAAATAACAACAACACACAACGGATAAAGATTTTCATGACGTCATAGGTAACGTCATATACATTAACGTTAATTTCCACCAATTTGATAACGTCTGGCTATATGAAAGAAATAAGTATTAAATGCGACGTAAAATAAAAAGATTTGTTTGTTTTACGTGAATATGCTCTATATCTCACTATGAAGTGAGGTTTTTCTGATATTTTCACTTGCGCTTCGCGCTCGTGTAAATGTTTAAAAAATTCACTTCATAGTGACATATACAGCATATTCACTTGAACCAAACACATATCCTCTATTTATCACATCTGACAGTTTATTTCACAGGTGTTTATCTGTTGATAGCTCATAATATGATAAATGTGTTAAGTTATTTATCTTTAATGCGCCAAATGTATTCAAAATGTTCTTAAGATCTTTAGTGTTTCTTTTCTTTCTTATGCTTCAAGAGAGAGCTGTAATAAGCAAAGTTTTTTCCACAAAGGCATGCAAATCGTTTCCCGGAATGTTGAGCGTCTTTGTGTCTCTTAAGAGACGATTTATCACACAAATCCTTATTACATACATCACATGTATTGACTGACAAACCAAGGCAGGATTTTTCGTGTTTTGATTTTATATACCTGTTATGGAATTTTCTTTCGCACTGTGCACACGAGTACGGTTTAATCCCTGTATGTGTATTCATGTGATCCTGGTATTTCTCCTTTTGATTGAAAGTTAATTTACAGTCTTTAAAAGGACATGACATCAAAGTTGATGATTTAGCATCATCAACTCTTGGATGGATTAGTTTAGTGTGAGAATTAAGATTAGACTTTGTCATGAATGATTTACCACATGTGACGCAGAGGTGATTTTTCTCATTATGTTTACTCTTAATATGATCATCAAGTGCCTTCTGACTGCTAAAATACTGTGTACATCTCGTGCATTCAAATGTTTCCTCGCTTGAATGTTTTCTGAGATGTCTTTTCAGTAAGGCTTTGGTCTTGTAACCTCTGCCACAAATGTCACAGTCAAATATCTCACTATTAACAGTCTCCTCCAAAGATACATCAAGAAACGAGCCATCTAATGGAGCCATTGCCTCGTCTGAATCATCGAAAGGTTCATCTTTATAAGTTGTCATGGTTACAGCTAAAATGAATGAGAAATATATATACATGTAGTTAAATGGGAGCACGTGATGTTAGAACTGTTGTTAATAGTTTAGCATAGTAAATGTAATTCAAAGACAAACTACAACGCTATTACAAACATGAAACTTTAAAGAAATGAATCCACGTTGTCGTGTTTTTCAAGAACTTGATAATATAGGAAAATATTTGAACTGTCAATAATATTATCTTTCCATTTTACATTAACATACATTGTTTTATGATACACTGATGCCAGTTGCGAGGTTAATAGTCTATCCTTTATTACATCAATTTAATAACTTATAAGCTACGCCGATTAGGTAAATTTCAGCCTTTATTTGTCATAAAGCGATGAACATTATTACCTCGAGAAAATAATGTCATATGCTAGCTGTAATATGCAATTGGCGTTATGTCTTAAAAAGGGAGTGCGCTGCTAAACTTAAGAAACATATAGTATTGTATGCATGTAACTGATAGACCCAACAGATCAAGCACACATGCATGAATATAGAAAAATGAAGTTTTTCATGTTGAACTTCATTTCTCTATTTATAGTGCATTTTTGTTGTACTTTATCATCACTTTTTGTATTGTAACTGCATGTTGCTAAAAAGCTTTTTTCAATGCACATACCGCATTAATAACTTTTCTATCTTGAGAAAATATTCGAAATGATAGTTTAACGTGTCAATTCCGACTAAAAGGACGCAAAAGAAAAGATGGAATTGATAAAGATTGAAACTTGATTTTCTGTCAGAATGTTAGCCACTTTTATGGTATTTTCTGCCATCGACGGCCAGCATTTTTTAATATGTCTCTGCCTACAACGGCAGCATTTTTTTCTTCGACCGGACAAGATTGAGCGTCTGTAAAAACTTTCAAGAAAAGACTCCATGGGGTAGATATTTTGGCTTGCGTGACCCCAATGGATGAACGTCTATATTGATAACAGGAAATCCTGCCCATTTATTAAAACTTGAGATATTTTGGACAGAAAAAACAGACATTTTTTCACGGATTTTTCCGAGGCTGTCACTTTTAACTGCTCAAAAATAGTCTTTAAAAACAGGAAAAAAGCGAGTCCAAATATTACCGTACAGTTGTCGCCATTCAATGGACAATAGTTTTATAGCATTGAAATGCGGCCGTATTTGTGTAATATAATTAAACCAACCAAATTTATAACCTACCTGTATCGATCGGAAATTGTCGGATATCTGCCATCACTGCAGTGATCTGCCATCACTGCCGCCGGTAATACGGTGTGCAGATGAAAACATGAAAATACAATCTACCACAAGTTGGTTCGTTTGTTGCATTTTCATGTTTTCGCCCGGTGCCCTTGATGCAAAATACAAGTCAGCCTTCATAAAATTTCTTATCATAGAAAAAAAGGTTAGTTTTTTATATATACAAAAAAAATAGATATTGTACATGTATTAGTACAGTTATCTTCACTTTTAAATTGACCTGTTATAAATAATGGCACAACCAATAACTGTTTTAAGCCCCTTTTTAGTAAAATAATTATACAACGATATATAAATTGTTATTTTTAATTAAGACTATGAGTATGTAAGGTTTTTTTTCTTATTTATTAATTAAGAATTATTTATCTGTTAATTTTAAAAAATCTAAAAGTATCTGTCACGGTTTAGAACTGTTCACTATTTAGGGGAAACATGTGTAAGCGGCCAGATTAGCTTAATCGCTACAGCTGCGGTACATTATTCTGTGGGTCACAGGTTCGAGCTCTGGTCAAGCTGAACGTTTTTCTCATCCCGTGACTGCATATAAGCATGAGTTCAATTCATTATGCTCTGTAAACATAAGAAATTAAAGACACAAATCAATATAGTGGGGAAATATGTTGTGGTTTAGAACTGTTTCATTATTAAAGAGAAAATGTGTAGCCGGCCGGATAGCTCAGTTGGTCTTCTGAAAGTCATGGGTTCGAGTCATGGTCAGGCAGTTTCAGTCAGGGTTTAGAAGTGGTTTTTCAACTGACACATGACAACTGTTTTTGATTCATTGTAACAGATTGTATTAAATTTGAAATGGACAAAGGCAGTATTGCATGATATTTTGAGATCTACAAAGGGCATTTGATACAGTTGATCACACTATACTGCACATGAAGAAGTTCTTTTTCTTTTTCTTCATGAAACTTCAAGCATCTGCCATAGGTAATGACATTTCTTACATGGTTTAAGTCTTATCTCTGATAGACAGTAGCTGGTGGATGTGGCTGGTACTCATTCTACTACTGCTCTGAGTACCTATGGTGTCCCCCTGATGTTTATGTTAGGTCCTCTTTTATGTCTAATATATGTCAATGACATGTCTGCAACCCTAAGCAGTAAGTTTTTATTATATGCACAGGCACGAATATCAGACCTGGGAAGAAAAATATGACCAGATTGATAAAAAAAAACTGTGTTCATCTTAAAAGTGTCAAAAACCAAAAAAAAAAATGTAAATAATGACCCCCTTTAAAAATATACTTTAAGTTAAAAGTATATTGTTAAAGGGGGTCATTATTTACATTTTTATGAACAGTTTTTCTTTTATCAATTTGGTCATTTTTTTTCTTCCCAGGTCCGATACTCGTGCTGTTTATTATTTTTGCTGATGACTGGTTTTCCTTGTACTGGTAAAAAAAATCTTTAGGGAAAATTTTTTTTTTTATTTGGGGATTTAGTCTTATAAGATTGGTTAATTGACTTAAAATTGGTCTTTTTTATCTTGGCAAGACAGGTCTATTTTATTTTGGTTAAAATGTCCTAGCCCCCGGGGGAAAATGTAATGGTTTTGCTATATAAAATAAAACATCTTTTGTTTAAGTATTTAGGTTTCAAACCTTGGGGTCAAATTCTTTTGGCGCCCCTTTGATTGGGTTTGGGATCAAAGCTTTTTTTGTAAATATATGTTTTAGTTTAAAGATAAGTGTTTATTTACAGGGGATGGGTATTTAGGACAAATCAAAAAATGGGGATTTTGATTAGGAAAAAGAAAATTTTCATTTGGGGGTTCCCTTTTTTTAAAAAATGTGGGACGTTTCCCTTTTAAAAGGGAAAAAAAAAACTTTGTTTTTATTACCAAAAATTTTTGTTCAAAACGTCTCTGGATTGATATTTACAAATTTTTCAGGTTTTTATCTTTCCTCCCTTTGGGAAACCCCTTTAATTTATTTCTGTAATACGATCCCAAAATTTTTATTTTGGAAACCAATGAAATTTTGGGGTCTTTTGTTAAAATTTTTAAAGGTACGGGAAAAAGAACCCTTACAAATTTAAAGTGAAATTTGGGGGGAATTCTCCTTTAATTTTTTAATTTTTTTTGGCGGGAACGGGGATTAAACATTATTATTGAGCGAATCTGTTTCCCGGGATTTTAAAAAAACTTGTATGGTTTTTGGTTTAAAAATTTGGAGTTTTTTTATTGGTTCGGAAATTTTACCTTCTTTACATGACAAATTTGGATTAATCTTGCATAATCCTTTGGAACATCCAAGAGAATGGTCATTTTCCATTAATTTTATTAAAAAAAAAAATAACAAATAAAACGACCTGGTTTTCAAATAATGTTTGTGATTAAAGATTTTGTCTTGCAATTCTGACATTAGCCTTTTGATCATACCAGTTATGTAACAAAATAAGTCAATTGTTTATAGGATAACATTGAAAACGAACTATAGAGAAATTCAAAACATCTTATTCAAAAATAATTTTTTTTAAATATCAGATTTCGCTCGTAAAAGTTAAACGATCTTGTTTAGGGATATGAAATGGTAATAAATAAGTTTGATAATTTTGAGGAAGCTAGTATTAAGAGTTTGAAATGCTAAGAAAAAAGGTTTGATATTGCGAGACCTAGCGTCTTTATCACACTAATTCTCCCTAAGGTTGAAAGCAACCTCTTGGACCTTATTGTTAGAAGGGTTTTAAACTCTTTTTTTAATTAAGATCACCGATTTATTGTATGATTATAGAAAAGGTTATATCTAACAACATAAAAAGGCCTTTGTCCAAAGTAATTTCTTATTTTCGAACAACGCTCTAAATATTGTCATTGCGACTATCCAAAGAGCCTTGTTTTGTCTACATTTATCTGTAATCCAGAGATTTTTAAAACTTTCTTTAAAATAACGAGGGAATTTCAAAAGCCATTTGATAATAAAATCGACCATATTAGTTTTCCGTGATAAAAAAATGACTCATATTGTTTCATGGTTTCTGCTTTAAAATCACAAAAATATCTTATCGTTTTTTCTTCCACTTATACTCATTTTCCACGCGGTCATATCAAAGTACACGCCAACCTGTTTTCCTAATGCCATGTAATTATTCTGCTTGTTTAACAAAATACCATAATTATCTTTTGTAATATGAGATCGATGTCTTTGATGAGCTTTTTCTGATTTTATATATTTATTGACTTTTTTGAAAATATCATTTGAAATTATGTGACGGCGAATTTGGATAAACAGTGTCTCGAGGCATAATTAATTGTTATAGAGAGCAATATATTTTGACAAGAGTCTGATCTACCGAAGTATGTTGTTGCCGTCGCTTTGAATTCGCCACGTTTAGTTTATACATTTGAAGGATTACAAGGCAAAATAGATATGTCTGAAATATCTGTGAATGTGTTACTCTATATCGAAAACTTATATAAACGTGCCTTTCTAACTGGATAAAGTTTAAACCAAGTTTATCTACTTGTTTTTGTTCGCGCAAACAATTTATCAAAATGTACTCTAAAATAATACTTAAAACTCTTCCCTCGCTTTCGTGTTATTTAGCTATATAAAATTACAAGAATCCATAACTGGGTTTAGAAGTTTTCCCAGTATCTCATTTGCATTAGAAATATTTCTTCCCTTTGTGATAATGTCTCTAATAAAGAAGGACACGGTAGCGTATTAAAAAGAATGGAAAAC